CAGAAAATTTCGATTCCGTCGTTAACACAAAAGTTGGAAAATTCGGCAAAAATTCCCTGATGATTGCATAAAATCGAAACCTACCCACTATTTAGAGAATTGTATACTCTTTGAAATACCGTTGCCAGCATCTTTCAGTCTTTTCTGGTATTGTTTTAACAAATTTTTATGTGGCGCGCTCGAATATCGTCCTCGGAGACGGAAAATTTGAAAAGTTCATACGAAAATCAAATGTATGTTGCTCCAACCTCGTATCGGGTTGCTTTGGCGTAAGAGCAATAATTAAAAAATTCCGAAGCCTTAGCAGGTGCTGGTAGCATTTAAAGATAATTTACATCAACCGTATAAACGATGCAGAAAAAATGCAGGAAATCGTTTAATCGCCGCAGTAAATCGATTCCTTTCTCCCGATCGGGCACTTGAATTCTGTTTCGGTTCTCCTTTGTTTCCACCTGGCAACTTTCTCCCCAATCGGTTTGTCTTCACAGCACATTAAAACAACCGGCAACTTCACTGTTTGGCTTTAATTAATTAAGCGCCAATTAGCAATTACCATAATCCATTGGTAATTGCCTTATTAGGTGCGCAAACACGTGATTTATGGGGGCTTTTTGCAATGCGCATTATTAATTAGTGGGCTTTGCATTTATTCAAATTAATCGCGCGCATTGGTAAACACACTTGTCAAACGTCGATTTTATACGCCCGCAGCCAACAAGGTTTGGTGGGAATTACCGCTGGTGCAAGCAGTACTTTCGCATTCCCGGACGAATGGCGGGAAAAAATCAACCAATCAGATCGGAGATATGGGACGGTTGTCGTAGAAACGCTGCTCTAGGTGGAACAGTTTTCACCAGCGGTGTACATTTCATTTGAAATATTCGTCGACTATAATCTAGTTAATTGCCAGGTGGGTCTCAAAGGGTGGTCCTTATCTCATTAGCATTTTTGCCATTAAACCTGATTAATAAACATGTGCAAAATGCACGGGAACGTTAAACCTCGCGGGTGGTCAAACTATCTCTTCAGCTTGTTATCGCGTGGTTTACGTCATAATCAATTAATTATCGTCTATAGTTTTATGCAGTTTTGCATCAATTAATTTTTCAGGCTTAACTGATGATGATGATGGCTTCGAGTCGAAACTCTGTGCGTATTTACTTTTTTATTGGGTCCGCATCAGAAGGTTGAATGAACAGCAAAATGCGGAAAGTTTCTTGAACAGTCTCTAAGGATGGATTGAAGTCGAAACGCCATCAGGTGAAAGAATTTGTCGGCTCTGCCGACTTTTCTGGATTTGCAGGATATTTTAGATGCATGATATGGGGAATTTAAAATTTACTTGTTTTTACAGTTGTGCAAAAATTGTCTACCACTTAAAAAAAGAGTTTCGAAATTCGCATAAACCTAAGATTTGAAGTTATAAAGACACTAACACGTTTTGATCGATCGGCAAAGATTTTTTTAGGGAAATCAATTTTATTTTCTGCTTTAAACACGCAACGGTGGTGCAAATGGTCATTTTCGAAACACTTTGCATTCGAAATAGGTGGTTGCTATGACAACGCCACCAATAACCAAGTTGGGACGGGATAATTTGCACCATTGTCCAACGGGTTTAAATAAATCATCCTTCATGTCTGGTTAGTCAATGTACAAGGATCAGTGGCTGATGAAAATGAAAACTGCAAAAACCGAGCGAATTTTGTGAAATATTGTCGGTTGATTTGCGCCCCATCGGCCAACGTTAATCCAATCATTTTCGGAATGTTACATGGAAGCGAAAGCACCCCCCGTACTCATATCAATATCATCAATATCGTCTCCTGCAGTCTAATACGACGAGGGCGGTAAAAGGAAAATAGGAATTCGGGAATGTATGGGTCTGCTTTAATAAGAATTTCCCGGTCCCGCTGCTGGACATCATACAGTTGCCATAACCCCGACGTTCATAAACTACCCCTAGCAGGAGCAGTTACTTTTTACGACCCCGCAGGAAAATTCATTCCGCAGACCCTGTTCAGGACAATGGCCGAAAGCAAATCACGCGTATTGAAAACCCATATAGTAAACTGTCCGACGCAATCGTTTTCCTTTTCGAGTTTAATTTTCCACGAATGTTCTGCATTACATGCAACCCGATAAGCGCCGTAAGACCCCCCTTTATCGGAGCCTTGATAGCCCGACCATCACTCATCGAAAGACTTTCTTGTCCAAACGGCTGAACAGAAATGTCTAGGAATCGCTTTTTTAAGCTCAATACGCCCCTGTCTGGCTTTGCCTGCAAACAACTGACGTCACGGTGCCAGACAGCCAATCAGCACGTGAGGCTCAAGGCCTGCAACGTCACAGTCCAGGGCTGGACTGAGAGAAAATGAATCAATATTTCCTTTCAGTGTCAAATGCCAGTGGTTCGGAGCACCAAATTTGCTGGTCAAGCAGTGGGACAATTAGTGTCTTGTCGGTCAATGTATTTTTTATTACAGCGACTCCGAGTCTTCCAGACATTCCCGGAACATCAGCAGCTTTTTTGCCGCTCTTGTGCATGATCAACGAATTTCCTGTTAACGCCCCCCGACATAAACGCGTTCCATATTTACTTTAGTGGGAATATTCGAATTTTCTGGGTAATTAAAGCCGAAAATTTACAAATAATATTTTATGGACGCCGTAAAACGGATGAATTTGTTTTTGTTCGCGCGTAAACAAAGTGGCAGGGTGCAAAGCTGTAAAGTTTTTAGTGTCAAAGTGATGCAGCCAAGGTTCGAACGATTGACTGATTGGACGCAGACGGTCCAGGATTTACACCGCAGTTTCCAAACGTTCGTTCCTTCATCGCATGTTAAATAAATGGATCCGTTTTGTATGTGGGGGAAATCGTCGAATTTGCGCTACTGCGAATTGATGCTGGTGTCGTCAACATGTCAATTCAATTCAACATGGATTTGTTTTCAGCTGTCTTCATGGCAAAATTAGAGACTGGCCGAAGATGGTTTGACATCGAGAAAGTTCGTGCGGGACTGCCATTTTCCGCGTTTCCAGGAAAGTTCAAGATTTCCTGTTGATCACACATTACATTTTCACTAGCTGAAAGAAAACACTGCTCATTTTCAAAAATTCCTGAAAAGGCGGGAGTGGATGTTTTCAGACCGATTAGAAAAGTATCCTTTATAAGACGTGAAAGTTCCAAAGGGTGGTTCCGCAGGTTTAACAGTGGAATGTTGCTTCACAAGAGCTGTTTTCGTTCCCAACGCTCGCCAAATGAAAAATTTTGAAAAATTCCTGAAAAACCAAAGGTTACTGAATTTTTGCAAAATGTTCGGACGTTTTGGCATCGTTGGATAGAGAATTCGAAATTCGATTCCGTCATATCAACATGAGTGAGGAAATTCGAGCAGTTTTGACCCAGAAGGCGAAATTTGAATCAGACATTTAGGTGCAAGATTTGGCCAAAATTTCATGTTTTCCGTTCTGTTCTTGCTCATTTCTCGGAAGCAAAATGGGCAAAAACGATCATTTTTACATCATTCGAAAGAGAACTAAATGGCCCTTTGAGAAAGTGAACTATCGATAAGGAAATGTTGGCAGTTTTTCCAAAAAAGTCTTCGTTTCAGGAAGTTTTAAGTTTGCGTGTTTTTCTGTTGAGATTGAAAATCGACTCAAACAAGGCGCTGCTTTTTTCGAAGTTTCTCAAGACCCATTAAAGCCACAGAGTTAGTTTTGGCATCGTTGGATAGAGAATTGAAAACTCGATTCAGAAATAACAACATGAGAGTGGAAATTCGAGTAGTTTTGACCCAGAAAGCGAAATTTGAATATCATACATTTAGGTGCAAGATTAGGCCAAAATTTCATGTTTTCCGCCCTGTTCTTGCTCATTTCTCGGAAGCAAAATGGGCAAGAACGCTGATTTTTACATCATTCGAAAGAGAACTAAATGGCCTTTTGAGAAAGTGAACTATCGATACGGAAACGTTGGGAGTTTTCTCGTAAAAGTCTTGATTGGAGCTGATTTTGTGCTCACGGCTCAAATTCACAAGGATAGCAAGCAGTTACGCCACTGAATTTAAATAAAACTCATTAAGGATTATTGCAAAATCGCTTTTAAAAGTGAAAAACCAATGAGAATTTTAATTTACGTTTACTTGGATCAGCGTATATGCAGCCTGTGGTTGGGAGCAGCTAAAACACTGGTCAAGCAGTGGGTCAATCAGTCAAACGCTAGACAACGCTTCAAACGAGACAATTTGGCCTTCAATAGAGTTAACAGAAAACCGAAAACTTTTTGCATTCCTACAAAAAGCACTTGAGCATGACAAGCACCCAACAGGTACCATAAAATCAGCAACCATTGTGTTCGGTTTTGCTTGGAAACTTCCCGACTTTCACGTTAACCGGAAACAAGCGAGCTTTTCTCCGGATCCTCTCATCAAGCTAATTAGTGCGGGATTGGCCGGAGGCGGCCAATTGAAAAAGGGGCGCCACTTACGCCCCATTGGTTACCATTATGCATTGTGCTTGTGGAACAAGGGCCCCATTATTGTTTTGTTGGCCTCGTTAGGCCCTCGATGAATGAGCCCCGGCATAATTGGCCCTAAGAATGGCAGACAAAAACCGCTGCAGATCTGAGCGGAAAAATGGTGTCATCGAGTGAAAAACCAGAGCGGAAAACAGCGGGATCGTTATGGGGCTCCCAAATAAACAAGCAGCGATAAGCCGCAATAAGCCGCTCAAGAAGGCTGAAAAGCCGGGATGGCCATAGACGACAAAATTGGTTTCTGATCGGGCCTCAGGTGGCTCTTTGCCACGTTAACTGCTCCCTTGGGCAACAGCTGGACAAAAACGAAATTAGGTGAAGAAATATTCCGCTGTGGGCTCAAAAGGGGGCGAAATTCACCCTAAACGCCGGCTTCAACTCTTAATCCCGTTCTCCACTTTTTTTTGTTTTAGAAACATATTTTTTCATCCGAGTGCCTGCTAAAGCGTTCGATTTGTTGCAGGCAGTTAGGATTTCCCGCAACCCTCTCTACAATCTTAAACCTGACTCCAACAGCCCACAAAGAACGATGCATGAAGATGGATTTCTTCGTGGACAAGCAGAAAGAATTATGCGCCAAATACGACAAAATTTTACCGGTAAGTTGAGGGAGAATCTATTCTGTTCTCTATCGCATCTTTAGCTTCTATTTATTGTTCCTTTGCTCTTATCATCTAATTCTCTAGGTTCCAAGTTAATTAACTTTTAGTTGCATTTTCGTAAAACTTCTGGTAGTTTTTCTGTCACAAGTTCCCCTTCAACTCTGGAAAAGAGGCCGCTGCACAAAGACCTCATAAACAAGCGTTAAACACTTTCAGGAAATGGCAAAAAATTATTTTAAACAAAAAACTAATAATTTTGTCTCTATTCGAGTTGTACCGAGTAGTAGAAACCGATTACTCCATACTGTTTGACTTTGCTGACGGGACACCAAGACCAAAACTTATGTAAAATCCCTATAAAAATTCAAAAATGCCCATTTCCTTAGATTGAAAAGCAATAAAAGTTTCTGCAAACAGGACAACAACGGAAAAACACTTGCAATATTTCGAAAAGTTTGCAGGAAGGAGAAGAATCACTTTATTTGACAATTACTCTATAACCGTTCAGGTTGCAGACGGGACAGACCGAACAAAAATGTACAAAATCATCCGAGAAATGTAAAAAAGCTCAGACGTTACAGTTTTTTACAAACAACTTCGATCTAGTTCACGTGAAACTGCATTCTTTCTGAAGCGACATTTCTGACAGACCTGAAGAGCAAACTACTTTGCAAACGGGACAGATAGAACAAAAAATTTGTAACATCATCTAAGAGATGCGAAAATGTCCAAATTTTTCAGTGTGATTTAATCAAAAACGCAATTTTTGCAGTTACTTGATTAGGAATACTCACTAAGTCCTTTTGGACCATAAAGAATATTATTTTTTTAGGGTGAAATCTTTAACAAAACCTTTCTATTTCCAAGGCACTTCAAATGCGAATCACCTGTTAAGCATGCGATTTGCAAACGGGACAGTCAGGACAAAAAGTGTAGAAAATCAGACAAGAAATGAGAAAAAGTCCAAGTGTTACGGCGTGGTCTTATCATAAAGGCAGTTTTTGCAGTTAAACGATTTAAAACAGTCACTAAACCTCTTCGAACCATAAAAAATAATTCTCCTTAACTCCTTAATGTGTATTTTTTCGATCGTTTTAGTGTGAAATCTTTAGCGAAACCTGCCTAAGACATTTCAAACGCGAATGACTACTGAACCTTTCACTTTGCAGACAGGACAGATAGGACACAAAATGTAGAAAATCACCCAGGAAATGCGAAAAGCTCGAACATTGCGGTGCCGTTCAGTCAAAAAGTCCACACACCAATCAAACTGTCCACAAAACACTCTTGTGGAGTACCTAAGACACTTCAACTGCGAATCACTTCTTAACCGTTGCTTTTGCAGGCGGGACAGTCAGGACAAAAAGTGTAGAAAATCAGACAAGAAATGAGAAAAAGTCCAAGTGTTACAACGTGGTCCAATCATAAAGGCAGTTTTTGCAGTTAAACGGTTTAAAACAGTCACTAAGCCTCTTCGAATCATAAACATTTAATCTCCTTAACTCCAAAGTGTATTTTTTCGGTCTTTTAGTGTGAAATCTTTAGCGAAACCTGTCTAAGACATTTCAAACGCGAATGACTACTGAACCCTTCACTTTGCAGACAGGACAGATAGGACACAAAATGTAGAAAATCAGCCAGGAAATGCGAAAAGTTCGAACATTGCGGTGCCGTTCAGTCAAAAAGTCCACACACCAATCAAACTGTCCACAAAACACTCTTGGGCAGTACCTAAGACACTTCAACTGCGAATCACTTCTTAACCGCTGCTTTTGCAGGCGGGACAGTCAGGACAAAAAATGTAGAAAATCACTAAAGAGATGCGAAAATGTCTAAACAAATAGGGTTTCTTGATTACAAAGGGGATTTTGCCACTTAAATAATTAGGAGCACTCACCAAGTCTTTTTACACCCGACAACTCCAATTACACTCACTCCCATTTGCGTTTTTCAGTTCTTTAGACGCGATCAAAAGAACTTTTCTTAAGATACTTCGAGTGTGATTTACTGCTGCTGCCATTCGCGAGCTGAACAAAAAATTTAGGAATTCGGCAAAAGTTGGAAAACTGCCAATTTATGTTTCCTAGTTGAACTACATTGTGGAAAGAGAGTGTTAACTGCAGCGTTTTTCCACTAGGCCGTCCTCAGACCAGACAAACACAGTTGTCGGATAACTGTTTTAAAGTAATTTTTCTCATTAAGGCTCTTAAGCAACCAAACTAACCAAACAAGCCCTAAGATGGGTACACAGAACCAGCCGCTCTAGGTAAATCCATTCTCTACTCAACGACAATATTGAGCTATCTAAAATAAAGGTCAATTCCCTTGATGGTATTTGACAAACCATCAATACCCTTTGAACATGTTTGATTCCCAGAAAAAAACCGTTCTTTCGTCAACATTAAACATACTCCACCTATGCAAACTCTGCACACACACACACACATCGAGAGATAGCATGTGTTGAGCACACATCGTGTACAAACCAGCCAAACTGAACTACAACGTACCTCAATTTGTTATTGTTTGCACCTTAAGACAGGCAAATATTTGCCGTTGTTGTTGCCCGAAGCGGAGGTGTTAATAAACTGGCTTTTAACAGCAGCCACTCACCAAATCGCTCTAATTATTGGCAGCGCCACTATCTGCATGATCCCCATCATTCTCTTCCTCTTCGCGAGTAAATCGGTTCATTTTCTCCAGATCATTGGAAACGGCGCCAAACTGGCCATCGAAGAGTGCCAGACGCAGTTCGCCTACACCCGATGGAACTGCACAACTTTTGCCGAAAAAAACAACACTTTCGGCAATGTGGCCACCATAAGTAAGCTGCTAGCGTGAACAGGAACCTTCCTCAGTTTACTAAGACTCACTTTTCAGAAAGTCGCGAAGCTGCTTACCTGAACGCGATTTCGGCCGCTTCGATGGCATACGCAGTAACGCGGGCCTGCACCAAAGGCGAGCTCTCCGAATGGTGCTCGTGCGACAACAAAATAAGGTAAGCCGGATTGTCTCGGAGAAGGTAAGCGCTACTGGAACCTGCCGGTTTCAGACAGAGAAAGCCGACGAAGTGGAAATGGGGCGCCTGCTCCGACGACATCAGATACGGCGAGAAGTTCTCCAAAGAGTTCCTGGACGTGCGGGAGGATCAGAACACCGCCCTGGGCCTGATGAATCTGCACAACAACGAAGCAGGACGGAGGGTTAGTAGGGCGCTTCTGAGCACCATTGGGCCAACCCCCTAATTTGGCTTGTTTAGGCGGTGCGGTCGCGCATGCAGAGAACCTGCAAGTGCCACGGCGTTTCCGGCTCCTGCAGCATGCAGATCTGCTGGCGACGGCTGCCCACGTTGAGAAAAGTGGCCGAAGGCCTCTACAAAAGGTACCCAAATTTGAGCCGATCATTCGTTTAAATCAACGCCAACATTCCCTTTCAGATACGAAGGCGCTTCGCATGTGAAGTACGTGGAGAGGCGCCGCAAGAAGCTGAAAGTGATCAGCCCGGACTTCAAGAAGCCCAACCGAACCGACCTGGTCTATCTAGAAGACTCGCCGGACTATTGCGAGAAGAACGAAACGTATGTGGGTGATTCTTGACGATTTCTTCACACAGTGACCGATTGAATTTGCTTCAGCTTGAACATTCTGGGGACCCGCGGGCGCGTCTGCAACCTGACTAGTCAGGGCATCGACGGCTGTCCTTTGCTGTGCTGCGGAAGAGGCTACCAAACCAGAGTCAAGGATGTAGAGGAAAAGTGCCAATGCGCGTTCGTCTGGTGCTGCAACGTCGTCTGCAACACCTGCCGATCGCGGAAAGAAGAACACGTCTGCAACTAGTTCTTCCATGAAGATGTCGAGTTCTTCTCACACAAGAGTCTTGATCTACAGCTTTATTTATTCTTTATCGTTTAGCTCAGAAGCTATTTTTTAACGTGATACTATGCCCTATCTGGATTGGTCGACATATCCCTTCTATGTGAATGTAGTTGTTAGCTTTTTCACGTAGTTTTACTGTTCAAAAGGCTTTGGGCGCAGAACTGGCACCGATTGGAACTTTACGTCCTCCTTAGCACCACCCTCGTCAGGGCTTTATACTATTTAGACTCAAATCGTTACCATTCTGTGCCACTTTCAAAGATCTGAGCGCTCCGCGGTACTTAACTAGCGAGTATTTTTACGTAATATACTGAATGTGTCCCCTTAGATTTGTATATAGTAACGTGTATTCTAGAACGTAAAGAATGTTTCCTAGTTGGTCGCATGAAGGCGTCCCCAACCAAACCACCAAGACCTCACACGGGCATTCGACAGAGTCCCCGGCTTCGTACGACCAACATCAGCGCATAACTTTGTACTTAACGAATTTACATAGACTACTGTAAATAGAATTTTAATATATTTGCCTAGCGTGTAAGTCTTCTAGCTTAGCTAGCGCGTAGCGATTATAGATATTGTAAATAGTCATGTTAGGGTAGTTGGGGGGTGATTTTTCGCACGCGAATCAAATTGGCTCCGGCTGAAAGCTGTGCCATAAAAACCTGAGGACGAAGCAGCCCAAATAAAAAAACGTCTTGAAATCACCGCGTCGGAAAACAGAAACTTGTAGACTTTTATGTAACCTGATGATATTATAATAGAAGTACCTCGTAAATTGACTTAACAGTAATTTGTATTTATTAATTTAAATGTTGATTGCATGGATATGTGCAGTATTATTAAAATCTTTGTGTAGAAGGGTTGCGTTATTTTCAAATGGAGGAGCAAAAAACAAAAAAAACCGGTTTCCTTAAATAATCATCAGTTACCATTATTCAGGCGACAATAACAGTTGCGTCGTACTGTGTAAGAATAAACTTATCTAAATGAGCCCAATGATTACATTAGGCTTTGGCCAAAAGCGCCAAGTCGGAGATGCATTTGTTGATGTTCTGTTTCTCCTGATCGGGAGTGATGGAGGCCTTCACTCTGGCCACCACATACTCGATAAGGTTCTTCTGAGCAATTCTGCGCTCCGCATTGGTCTTTTCCACTTGGTACTCCAGACGGTTCTTCACGGCTTGATAAGCTGTATGCAAACGATCCCGGTAGTTGGCCTCGAGCTGCAGAGCCACATTTTCCCGCTTGGCCGCCAACAGCAAGTTCTGACCTAAAATTAACAGCTTTTGTGTGATTTATGTTCAGTACGAACGGCGCAAAACATTCACAAATTTCGATAATTATTTATAAAACGATCACTTCCGATGCCTCAAAAGAGAATCTTAAAATTTGCAGGCCGCAAAGCGAAAAACGCAACATTCGCACAAACACTTTGATTGTTCAAACATTCTGTATACCTTCAATGGACCATTGGAGCTTTTCCTCATTGGCTATCTGGCTCTGCAAGACTTCCTTCTCATTTTCTCGCCCAGAATTCCATTCCTTTTCGTAGTTCTACAGAAAACCAGCCCAAATTTAGCCCCCCTGAGGATTCATTTCGCGTTGTAAATCAAAACTTACGTCGATGTCCTTGTCTAAAAAGGCAGCCACTTTGGGGCCTAATTTCTTGATTCCGTAGGTCCACATGATCAGAATGGACAGTCCACTGTAGAACTCGTGCTCCAATACGTAGATTTCCTTGCTCACCAAATAGGTGGAAAGAGTGAAAGCAAAGGCGTAGGGGCCGGTCACTCCAGTTTTGTTGTAGAAGGCCTGGAACCACTCTTCTGGAACGAAGCCAAAGCGCACTTTGCCAGGTTCCTGTCGTTGCTGAAAACATCCACAATCATTAAAATCACTGGGCAAACCCTCGTAATTGTATTGTTGACTCGAGCACTTACAGGCCTTAAAGCAGTGGAACTGGCAGGCGTATCAGCAACAGCGGCCGCATTGCTAGTGGCTGAAGTGCCAGTCGCCCTGCACAACGCCATCAGAGCCCTGGAGTTTTGACCTGAGTAAAGACGATTACATAAACATGTTGAAACCGAAATCGACCTCTATTTGATGGCAGAGATAGGCAAGCTAACTGGGACCTACCGGAAAGAATTGCGGCCCTCGAAAGCATGTTTTTGCTAGATTTCCCCTACACAGTTCTTAAATAAAGCCCACAGCCCCTTTTTCAACTGGCAAGTACAAAAGTCAGATGGACAGGTTACGTAAGCCCTATGACAACTGTCGACCTTGTGGATTGCTTCGCGACTATTTGGCAGCGCCGCTTATAAGGCGGATTTTTCGCATTCCCGACTTCAATCTGTGAAACAAACAAAACACTTGCAATAAAAAAAACATCTTTAATTATTAATTGACAAACTCCTATTGGTACATAGAAAATGAGCTATTCACGCTGAGGTTTCGGCGGTTGGTGTCCTCAATTTTTGCAATTTCCTCCAGGCGCCGGTTGATTTGAGCCGTGTTTCTGTCGATCCACTGCAGGGAGTTCATGTGGGCGTTCAGTATTTTGCTGATTTGGGTTATCTGCGAAAAAAACTGACTAATTCTCGGAACAAAACCGTTTTTCAGCGTCCTTACTGGGTTCGAGACTTCTTCGTCCTTATTTGATTCGTTGATGCTCTCGATTATCTCCTTCAGATCATCAGAAATCTGCTTCAGCTGGAAATCGATTATCTCCGAAAACTGATACCTAGAAAAAAATTAGTCAAGCAACTAAAGCTTGCAGGACTTGAAGCTATGCTTACATCTGGTTCCTGTCGATATCAACAATAGGAACATCAACCAGCTCCTTCTCTAGAGGAATAATCAGCTCCTCCAGCTCCTTTTGCTGTGCCAAAATGAAGTCCAGCTCTTGATCCAGCTGCGACTGTTGCTGCTTGACCTTCTCTATGCTGCTGTTCAGGCTCAGGATTTTTTCCCCTAGAAGACGCAACATCAGCAACCAATCCCTTTAGTGAATATGGAAACAATACCGTTTGAAACAAGCAAGCCGTCCCAAGCGTTCAGCTGTTTGGCTTGATTAATGAAGAATTTGCCTTGCTCCTCCAAGTCGATGGTCCATTTATTGATCGAATCCTCCAACTGGGCAAACGTTAGCGCCCCGACAGCAGGAGCAGGAGCAGGCGCAGGGGCTGCAGCGGGCGCCGATGTGGTCGGAGCCCTAAAAAACAGCATAAAATGCGCTCCCACAACGAGCTCTGCAGCTGAACTTACCCGGCTGCACTGGTAGCAGCGCCTCCAATGGAAAATCCCGAAGAAGCTGTTGTAGTAGTGGCTGCAGCTGTTGTTCCACTCGGCAACGGCTTAGCGGCATCAGTAGTTGCAGTTGGAGTTGGGCCGAATTTCAGGACTAGCCAAAGGGAAATGTATTGGATTTTTTCTAAGTATACATACACAATAAAATGGAAAGCTATTAGTTACCTGAAGTGGGCGCTGTGGTGGCTGCACTACTCAAAATCGGCGTAAATGTGGCACTAGACGTGGCAGTGGTGCCTGTGGAAGCGCCGAAACCAAATGACAAACTAGGCGTGCTGGTTGAAGTAGCTGGAGCCCCAAAACCGAAAGACAAACTGGGAGCACTAGTCGAAGCTGGCGCGCCTAATCCAAAAGACACGGTAGGCGCTGCGCTAGTTGCAGTTGGGGCTCCAAGCCCGAAAGATACGGTAGGGGCAGCACTGGTTGAAGCTGGCGCTGCTCCAAGCCCAAACGACATAGTAGGCGCAGCACTAGATGCAGCAGGAGTAGCAGCTGAGCTGCCAAAACCAAACGACAAGGCTGGGGCTGCGCTAGCAGCAGGAGCAGGACTTGAGAAGCCTGAAAACACGTAGTCAAAATTCAAAATTTTCAAAGCATTTTTTGCCGGTATATTACCTGTTCCAAACCCAGCACTGTTTGAAGCTGCCGCTGGCGCGCCGAAGTTTAAAGTAGGCGCAACCGCTTGTTTTGGCTGGTTGAAGTTGGCGCTAAATCCCAGCGAAGGGGTACTTGAAGCTGAAGCCAAGGGAAACATTGTGGAGCCCGGTTTGCTGTCTCCAGATGCTGCCGATTGGCCCAAATTAAACTGCAAAGTCCCCGCTAGAACAGACATATTAATAGATTCTTAATTAGGTGCACAAAGAAATCTTAACGGCAAGGCAAACTTTATAAAATTCGGGCGATTTCCCTCAAGAAAATCAGTCAAAAACAGTTCAAAACGGCCCAGATTCGCTAAATTTCGATAATTTCCCTCGGCTTTTGTGAATTGGAGGTTAGAATTCTCAATTCTGAAAATTTCCACTTACCCGAAGCAGGAGTACTCGTTAAAGGGTTTGTAGCGGTGCCCGTCTTGGGTGGGTTCGCTGGTGAACCAAAATTGAACATTTTCCGGCTAAATTAACAACAGGGCTAGATATTTAATAAAATTATTCGCGGTTTTACAGGAGTGACATTTCAACAACAGTCCACAGATCACCTAGGTTACTCTATGATCTGTACAACAGTCCACAGAACATACCCTCTTATATTTTTGGGGGGATATTTTGTGCAACAGTCATAGATAAAGACGAGACAACAGAGACAAGTAGAGACCATAGAGAAAGTAAAATAACAAAAAAGTCTTCGTTTCAGGAAGTTTTAAATTTGCGTGTTTTTCTGTTGAGATGCAAAATCGACTCAAACATGACGCTGCTTTTTCCGAAGTTTCTCAAGAACCATTTGAGCCACATAATTCGTTTTGGCATCGTTTATTTTACTTACTCTATGGTAGAGACTAGAAAGTAGGCGTGAAAGAAACCGTCCCTGGTGACGTGCTTTTCCGGATACACATAAACCTGATCGACCAATCGCTTGTCGACTCTTTGAATACAAGACATGTACCATGGCAACGAGTGAATATAAACCTTAGACAAGGAAAGAGAGTCTCTTTCCTTGTCTAAGATATAAACACATCAACTTTGAAATTTGTAGTTATTGAAGTTTTAAATGAACCAGCAGAGACAAGACTTGTCTCTGGAGACAACATTAACAGCCTTATAACGTTGTCACGTGCCGATGTTACAAGCGTTCTGAAACCAATACGTCACGTACGAGTAAAACGAGCCTGAATAAATATGAATGAAATTCCAGCAAATTTTTATTTTTACTGGTAATTGTATGAGAGCTTTTTAGAAATCAATCATCCATATTGGTTCGCCTGCATGTTTATGCAACGCCTGGCTTACAAATAATACTAATTTTTTCTTGAAAGCAAGAACAAGGCGTTTAAATTGTTTCGATTTTAATACTGTACAATCAATATGCACTACGCTGTATAACGTATAACTGTGTATACCTATACAAATAAAAGTACATGTGTAATACAGAGTGCTGTGTGATTTTCTGGCCTAATTTTAAGCAAGAGGCGCCGTTTCAAACGTACGTCCAAGACGTCATAGTTACCGAGCTATAAATCGTTCGCTCGTGTCATTCCGTCGAGTTAGTCGACTGTGAAATGGCGGAGGATAGAGACGGTGGTGCGATTAGCTCTGCAAAAATTTCGAAATATTACACATCTTTTTAATTTCCCCGGGGAAAATTATGAATTTCCGTAAAGCTAAACGTTTCGGGTGTCGTTTTGTGGTATTTTCTCGATCGCTGGCGTGATTTTTACAACAAAGTACGATTACACAAAATCGGTTTTTTTTGACGTTCACTGACAACCTGGAGATATCATTTTGCCATGCGCCGATTAGGAAACAGGACATCAGGAAATACCCAAACTGTGCAGAGTAAGAACTTTGAACGCTTTATAAGTCAATAACCCTGAAGAATTGAGCGTACGTCTATAGGAACTTTTCGCCTGGAATATGTACAAAATCTGATATACATATACAGCACTCTGCTTAAACAACACTGATTTAGCCAAGCGAACTGTTTTGGGCAGAAAAGTTTATATAAATACGTAAAAATTACTCATAATTACGAAAACCAGTCCGTGGAGAAACTCCCGAATAGGGCAGCGGCGCTTTGTCTCATTGCCGACGCGGACTCCTGCGCCTTCTTTGTGGTGGATTTCGTGGGCTTTTGAGGGCTCGCCTATTAAAAAATACACATCAAAACCTGCCAGGTTCATTGCAACTTAGCGTTAGCAGATGGTTAAAAAAAATCAGTGAACACTGTTAAAGGGGAACCCCAAAAAGGCAAACAAACAAAAACACATTTAGGAATGTTTTCCGGGCTTTGAAGCCGTGGTCTATGGGAATTTCTTC